CAGCAGGATTACAACCTTTTGAGGGTGACAGGACACAAGGTGTTTCATAAGCACGAAGTAGAGCAAGTGGGTACGGGGAGGTAAATGATAAATACAACGTGATACTAAATACTGATGACACACAATTACAAAAGCAGCTTCTTGGCCTACATCTGGAGTTACTGAAGGCAACTTGTGTAGGTCAACCGTCATTTGCTGTGTCCATATGGTCCATACGTCTGCTGGAACATTTTTACAGTTGCTATGCGTATGGACTGCTTGCGTGTCCTTCCTGTCTTGGCTGTTAAGAGAAAGGGGATATACAACACTAAGAGTTTCTTGCCACTACATATAATATACAAAAGTGGTGGTATGGGTGGATTTACACAGGAAATCACCTCAAAATTGCTAGTTATAAGAAACTTCACTTACAGTTTTGGATTTTTGCTAACTGTTGATTCCTTACAAGAGCATGAAGAATTTGAGAAAAGATCTAAATTATTAGTTTAGTGCTATTACATTGACTGCAGCACTCTTTGATAGATCCCAGTAATGTGAAGGGAGTACTGCAGGTAGCTTCAGAGATATTATCTGAGGAAGGGTTAAGAAAGCTCTATGAAGGTGAGTCTCACATATATTGAAGTACAGTCTAAAGTCTTCTGGAAAAGAAACACTACATGACAGCACATTGAGAGATAGACTCTTACTCACAAGGAGCAACAGGCAGAGAAAAGGCTTCTTAATAATTTTTAGTTACCTAAGTTAACCACATCTAAGCTGTATTTCCTAACATTTCTGTGGGTTTGAAGAAGAAATTTGGCCAAACTGTCAATTTTGGCAAAATTAAAGAAATCTCTGTAGTCTGGACACAATCTCTGATTTATAAGATTATTTAGCATTTTTTACTTTGCTCATAAAAAAAATCAGTTTCATCTGGAAGCAAACATATGAGGTTGAAGAATTTCTAAACTGTAGTTCATCTCAGGACATTTATTTAAGCTAGCTTTTTACTGCATGAAAACTTTGATTGCTTTTAGATGTAACATTTGGGCTGGATAAGCATGATACGCTTTCCCAAACTGTATCATCTTTGGTTATTTCAAAGGAACCAAAATGAAATTTACTGGGATAATACAAATATATAGTGCACTTTTAAGCACTTTATTCTGAATTGAGTTGTTGTACTTAAAATAACTGCATCTAAAATGATCTAAAGGTATCAAAAATAGTAAACTAATAGCTTAGATTAAATAAATACAGTGTTTCTGTAACAGAGGTTCGATAAAATTATCTAGCAGAGAATAATACTTCACAGTGGCAGTGTTGAATAGGCAACAACTCCAGTTCCATTGAAGTTAGCCGCGGTGTTATGAGTCATGTTCTGGTATTAAAGAAACCTTCCTTTGACAATTTCAAAGATAGATCTAACAACGTGCTTTTTGATGATAAATCTTTGCACATTCCCCCAATGGTTAATGATGAATACAGCTGACAGTTTCTTGTCTTGGTCTTTTTACTTTGTGGGAAACCATGTCTAAAGCCCTCCTAGACCTTTATCAGGCTTTTGGATTCAATTTCCTTTTGAGTTTTGATTTTGGATTAATCAATGGAAGAATCACAGTTGGGATATTATTTTCCATAAAAGGAAATGATTTTGCAGACTGTCCAACATTTCTTTATTCTTTTCACTATTTTAAGCTCACCTTTCAGACTTTCATGTCCCTCAATGCCCTTTACCCAGCAATATCTTAATATTATTTATACTGTTTTCTACTACAAATATCTTTTTTGCATGCAAAATTTTTACTAGTTTTAGGTTTTTCAGATGAAAAAAACCCCACTATTTGAAGCGATTATTTTTCCCTGAGCAATTTACTTCTATAAACACATTTTGACTGCAGGAGAATCTAAGAAGAATCTATTTTACAGTATTTTTTATAAGTAAAATCTTCTATCAGATACTGGTTTTATTTTTCACACTTCTTAATCTATTTTTATATGATGTGGAAGATGAAATACCAGTTTAAACTCTATACACCTAAATGATTGTATATCTTTTGAATACTTCTTAAAATTTCATTGACTTTTAATTGTATGAAATTGTCCAGATAACTCTCTGCCCCTTCACAAAGCTCTTCTCCAACATGACTAATAATAATATTTTACATTTAAAACATATAATTCAGTTCTTTGCTTAAAATTATTCCTATTTCATATTTGGGCTCTTTGAGTCACACAAAATTACTGGAACAAAGCCTCCTCTCTTGGTACCACAGATATACATTCAGTGTCTTTCACTAAGAAAGGGGAACTGACATCTACTGTCCAAAGTCAGGACCTCTAAAATGAGGGGAGGTTATAAAGAGAAATTAAGTTGAATTCCTATTCCTGTTCAACTGACACAACTTCTCTTTCATTCGAGCAAGATGTGGGATATAGTAAAGAATGTAGTAAATGTTCAAGATTTACTTCAAACCCTTTAAGCAAATTTCCTGCCATACTGCAAGAAGATATAGCTTCAAAGCTGGCGCAAACATCTGGGAGTTCTTCACTGAGTGATACCAAAAAGAGTTGCCTTCTTGCACAGCAGCTGATGCAAAGTATCTGGAAAAAGAGACCTGCAAGCTGTGTGCTCTAACAGTAGGTATATTTGTGCCTAGCTGTTTAAAAGTTAGGAGATTTTACTTTGCTGCCTCTGCAGCTGGAACAATCTAACCTCTACCTTCTTTCTTGGTGCTTGGCATATGATGTGTCTGTTGCTGTTACAGCTGCTCTCAATATAAGATCGTACCTAAAATGGGATAAAAAAAAAAAAAAAAACAGAGGAAAGGCAGATGTGACAGAAATACCATCTTGAATATGGCTCTTAAGTGAGAACGCACTTGCTGTGTTCTCTGAGACCGAGCAAGCAGATGGAAAAGAAGGGCTCGAAACATGCAAAGTCTGCTGGAAAAACTGCATCAGAACAGGCAAACAGTGAGAATAGAAAAATGAAGAGCTTTCCCTCATCTTGAGGGCATGAACCACAGATTCAGTTCTAGAAATCTTGTGGGTTTTACGATGCAACTCTGATACCAGCTGAAGGGGGTTATTATGGGGAGAAATCCAGTCTTTGAAGAAAACAGAAAATGTGAGCCAGCCATGAATCTTCCTCTGCAGTAACTGCTATGAGTAATGACTCTGCAGTTCATGCTGTCTTGTGGGTTTTTTTGTTGTTTTTGTTGTTTGCTTGGGGGGTTTGTGTGTGTGTGTATGGGGGGGGTTAAAATGTAGTACATGGTGGCAAATTATGTATGATCTATTCATGCAGCTCTCAAAGATTATGTAGGAGGACTTTGGACACAGTGGGGACCCACACAGATGTATAAGATACAGATATGAAGGACCTGCTCCTTCAAAGACCATTATTCACAAGCTGGGTACAAAATAGAATATGCTTTCCAAGCCAGGACATACATCTGTCCCAAGTAAAGCTTCAGGCACTGTATGTTACTGCAAAAACTACTGCTAGAGATGAGGAGGAGAGCCCGCAGGCAAGTTTGGCATGAGGCATGACAAATACATATTTTGCCATATGCCCCAAGAGGGACAGTCTGGGTGAAAGCCAACAGTGTCACAAGACTGGCTGCCAAAAGACAAACCTTTGTGGCAAAAGGGTCCAGTACTGCCCTCATGAACTGGACAGGCTAAGCAGGAATACAACAAGCTTCTGGACTCTGACAGGATCATGAAAGAGTGAAGGTGTCAGGCAACATGATCAATGTTTCTCCATGGAGAGACAAAACACAGCACCTGGAACTGGTAGTGACTTATGATGTGAAAAACATGTAAAGTAGCTGGACGGATTTGCTTTGTTTTGTTTTTCTAAGTTTTTTAAAGAATTAGGACAGTAGCCATTTCCTCTTCATTTCTTTTGAAGTCATATCTGACGATTTGGTGACAGGCTAAGGAGATTCTTCTAGCAAGAGGACTCCTCACATCTCCTTCCACTCTCCCCTTGCCCTTCCATCCCCCTTTCTAAATCAGTTTAATAGCAATTAGTGCTATGGTAATTTCTCTTTGTTGTGGGTTTCCAGCCCTACCCTACTTCATACCAGTTCAAGGGGTTTCTAAAACCGCAAACAACACACAGCAGTGTTAGTGCACTACGGCTACCTAAACTACAGCCAACAAACTATGCAAGCAGTGGACTTCATGTGCGTGGCTTTACAACGCAGCATACTGTCCTCTCACCTGCTCCTATCTGTTCATCATCCTAAAGATTAATAGTGTCCTGAAATGGAATTGTTATTGGGAGTTTTCATCTGAATCAAGCAATTACCAGAAGTGCTAGACTAACCACTCTGCAGAACAGAGCTCTTTATCATCTAAGGGTGCAGTAAAAGTAGAGGCTTTCTCATAGTAATTTACTTGTGTATCTCAGTCTCTGCTCATGTAAGTTTAAAATGATAAACTGAATTGACCATTACTAATATTTTAAACTTTTTCAACAACTGAGAAGTTATTTAAACAAAAAGTAAAGCAAACACAGGGCCACAAACACCATTCTTCTGGAGAGAGCAATAACATTTGGCACACTTTAGGGCCTTGTTTTAAATTTGACAGTCTTGACTGCAGTGGTATTATAAACATTATTAGGCACACAAAGACATTAGAAACTTTACAAATACTGCTGAAATCTTACAGTACACCTGTGAGGAGGGTATTATTTTGCTGACTGATCAAGCAATAGACAGAGAAGCTGAGGCATAAAAAAATAAAGCAAGCTGACCAAGTCCACAAAGCAAATCTGTTGCAAAATAAGAACAGAACTCAATCTCACAATTTGCAGTTTGTGTCTTTCCCCTAAAATCATTTTTCTTCCCCTTCAAGTTGTTATTCGGGACTATAGTAGCTACCTTGTTTAATTCTCTTGTCCCTGACACAGACTGTATTTCTACATTAAATAATGTGCTTTTGCAAACAGGAAAGTTTTATTAACACACAGAATTGTGGAAATGAACAAAACCAGAGGAGCTTACCCAAATCCAGAAAACAAGCGACAGAAGAGGAAGAAGCCATACCCCTGGACAAATGATGAAAGGAAGGCAAAGAATCCATTGACAGACATGCATATCAGGAGTGACTGTCTCCTTCCCACCTTGTCTGCCAAGCCTCCCCAGAAGAACGCCCCCACCATCATCCCAAGGTACACTATGCTACCTGCAATATACAAAAAAAAAAGATGTTGTTTTGTGAGCTACATAACTGACCGCAATTGACCACACCAAAAATAGTTGATCTTCTATATTTACAAAACAAACAGCATAGAGATTAATTTCTCCTTTCTCAGTGAATAGAAATTAAATGCATAACTTTGAAAATGTATCTAGGGAGAAAAGATTTCCCACTGTGTCTTTGTCATCTGTTACCACTGAAGCTTAATATAATTATTAAACAAGGTGCCTCTAGCTAAAACAATTAAAATACAGGTAAATAAGACTGAATGGGAGAAAGAATGCCGCCATTTCATCAGTAATAAACTGCATTCATGTTAAATACAGCAAAAATTATAACTTCCCCTGCAGGAACAAAGTGTCTGAACATTTCTAGAATATAAGCATTCCTGGAGCAAGATGTGCTAAGTATAAAGGAAGCTGATTATGAAAGAGGCACTGTCCATTTGAGATCTACAGAATCGAAGATGTCCAGCTTGATTGCTTTTTTCTCCCTCCTACTTCAGTATACTGATTTATTTAAAAAGGCACTGACCTGTATACAGAGAAACACTGGAATGTTTTAGGGCTTTTTTTTTTCCCCCAAGAATTTTGAACAGATACATTACAGTTTAGCTACATACCTTAAAATGAGAGAGAGGAAAAATTATTTTGAGGTGATTTTTTAAAATGTTAGTCATGTTTTCAATGTGAAGTACTTTCCCACAGAAAGATAAATTGAAGCATTTAACATTTTGACCATTCACATCTTAGCATATTGTACATTATTTCCTTTCCAGGGACAAACCTTCTGTGGGATATTTTGCAAAGGCGCACAACACATTGAGCAGACTGTCAGAAGAAAAAGTAGTTCCCAAACTTTGGACAGAACCAACCAGATTTGTATTTTATTTGATAGTGGTGGTTCTTTTCCCACTTACTTTCCTACTGAACTTCCCAAATTGGGTTTTATCTACCTATCAGTTGTTACCATCTTATATGCCTACTAAAGGAGCAGGAATTACATATAAAGTAGCTGGAAGCAGCTAAAATACTAGCAATCCTTGCCCTGGGTCTCTTTTCGATCAGCCACAAGAATGGACAAATTCCCCAGCAACTCTGATTGGCTGTAAATGCTGCTGTGTAAAATTACAGCCTCCAAAAGAATCACCTCTGCCCTGCACAAGGTAGTTGGAAGGGAAAGCAAGCTGAAAAAAATACTTAAATGCCTGGGCTTAGTAAACTGCCTATTAACGTGGAGGTCACTCATCAGTATTTCCATGCTTGGAATTCCAGATGTTAACATCTAAAGTACTGACATCTGCAGGGGCTCATGCACCCCAACATGTCTCTGTTTCCCCTCATGTTTTGTACAAGTAGTTTCCACTCCTGCTGCCTTATAAGACATCATTTTAAAACATTTGATAGAACACACATTGTATTAAATGCGTATTAGCAACAGAGAAAGTTGTATTTTAGTTAGGTGACCATGCTGTTTTTATCAATGCCCTTTGCCATTGATTGTGACCAACACCAGAAAATCAGTCTTTTCTGCAGCTGCCTTTTTAGCCAACCTAAAATAATAACAGGATGTTTCTGGACTGACTGTCTTCTCCATGAGTCCCACAGGACAGGATGACAGATCTGTTGCTGCTCATCACAGGAGCACTATCTCTCTACCTAAACAAGACCAACAGGCTCCTTAAGAACAACAGTTAAATGTCTTCTCAAAACAAATTTTGTCAATGGACATTTTCAAGTTATTACTGGGATCTTAGTCTTTCATCAAAGGATATTGATAAAAAAGAACATAAATCCAAAATTTGCAAAATTGCTAAGATATTTTTGTTCTCTTTCCTCTTAGCTCAGGAAGGACACAGACACGACAAATATTCTTTTTGGTTTGAGGTGTTTAGCAACAGACCTTTATCAGATAGCTCCTTCATTCTGATCAGAAACTTTTATTCCAATAATTGAGATTCTCCTGAGAATACACACACAGCTCACACATTTTCTGGTCCTAAAGAGATGAAGCTTGGCGAGTATATATATTTGCTCAACTGCTTATTTAAGATCTCTCCTGTGGGTAAGGTTACTGTACTACACTGCAGGTAGACTAGTACCCACGAACAGTTTGGAAACTCCATCCAGCAGAGCTGGTGCTTGCTTGTCAACATTATTTGAAAGACCTTAGCAAAAATAGTTCAATAGCAGCATTGCCAGCAGATCAATTTTAAAAAGGCAAATAAAACGGTTTATTTTTACTTTTAAAGTGAAATTCCTTACATTCTTTCATACATAAACATTGTTGGGCTTTCCCAGTCAACACCTTAATATTAGAAATACTCAGAGAAGGTAAGTCAAATAAATTATATAGATAACTTTGAAATATTTTATGCAAATAATCTTAATTTTACCAAGTAACTACTTTCCTTATGATGCACAGAAATATCAAAACACTATGAATGATGAAAGAAAAAAGTTTCCAAGTCTTGAGAGTTTAAAAATATTGACCTTTCTGATGACAGGTCCTTTGGTCATTGTACTGTACTTTGGCCTGTCTTACACCCATGTAGTTCTCCTGAAGAGCATTCAAAAGATGCTGCTAAAAATAATATTCTCCTCCTATCAACAAACTGCTATAAATAAGTTGCTTTCTCAGCTGCACCATTAGCTTATTCTTTCCCATTACATTAACTTCAGATTTTTTCCTAATTGCCTTGCAGACCCTTCACAATCCCTCTCCCCCACCAAAGATCTGTATCCTTTCCATCCTGAACCTACTGCAGCTACCAATGATACCCATTTCAGTATATTTTCCAGTCTTTCTTCTTTTTCATATTTTCTTTCTCTCTTTATACAGAACATAATCCTGCCTGCAGTCCATTAAAAAAACGCCCTTCCTCTCAACTTTCAAATCATTCCTTAAGACCTTTCCCCCTCTGCAGCAATATTCACAATAAGCCATAAAAGTGACAAATGGCAAAGGAGAACTCTGACGATGAACAGTTAAAATAGCTGAACAACCACCTGCAAGTGAACAACCACTAAATGCAAGTAACCAATGACATCAGATTATCATTTTACCCTTCATCGTCCCTTCCCTTCCAACCTTCGTAGCTCTTGTTTATTACGTCATGCCACTGGTCAGAACATAAATCTCATGAGGAAAACACTATGATTTTTTTACACCTTTTATAAATCACATACTACATTTTGCATAAATTTATATATGTAAAAATTAAATAGCCTGTTGTTGGTCAGACCTTGTTCCGCTTTCTCATTTACCTTTAAACACTGGTCATCAAAACAATAATTGTATGGGTGTACAAACACATATATAGATTTTAATTTAGCATGTCATCCTGAGGGTGATACTCCCTTTTTGAGCAGCTACTACTGCTTACAAAACTGACTGCTTTCCTTTTTCTTTTTGGTACAGCACACTTATGCCTCTAAAGAAGTTAGCTTATTGAGCACAAGGCACACATGGATTTGACATCCAGCATGATCCTAGAAACATATTTTTAAAAATAAAAGTTTATTTTAAAATGCAAAGACAACTAATGATATCTGTAACATAAGTCTTTGATTTTCCCCACAAAGTAACATGTACTCTCAAACTCTGTCATTTGGTGGAAAGACACCGAGAAGAGGCAAGCGGCAGCTGAAAGGAAGCTCATGCCATGCTAAAATTAATATTCTCTTCTATTGTTCTTCTACCAAGTTTTAACAACCTCTATTTTCATTCCACAGCAGAAATTCTACACACTTTGATGATTTTTCCCATTGTACAAACATACAAAATACACGCTTGCAGCCTCTTCAGATGAGGGAACCCACATCTGGAATAGGTTTACACCATGCATGTGCACTTTTGCTACCAGGTGGCTAGGTATTTTTTAAATGAGTGTGCCCACAGCATCTTTCAGGTTGCCAGCAACAGCTTAGCTTTTCATAGCAGATGACCAAGGACTCTCTCGGTATCCAAATGGTAGTTATGGTCAATTTAAGCAACGTGATAAGAATACATGCATGATGGTTAAATAGCATTTTACTCCTTGTGCTGCCATAACTTCATTACTTGCACTGTCTGTTGCAATTCATAGCCTGGTATCTAAACGACAGCCACACTCTTCTGAGAAATCAGTCTGTAAGTGTACACTCTGCTGGGAGAAAATAAAGCAATGAAAGTAAAGTCATACCTCCTTGCAACAGAAAGACTTAGGCTATGAGACTCACTGATGGTCACCTTCTGCTTTAACACAGCTATTATAAAGTAGATATAAAACCAGCCTCCAGTTGCTTTTTTTCTGTTGTTTTGTTTAGGTCATTTGTCTGAGCGAGGAATGAATTCCATGCAACTGGAAAAAGTACTCTCATTTAAAAAAAAAAAGACTCTAAAATTAAGATTAAAATATTATTTGTATTTTGGAAAGTAAGATTATAAATGTGGTCCTAAGCCAGCTCCAAGAGGAGAAAAACTCCTTTCATAACAATTATACTGTACTTTAATCAGTGTTTTATTTACTTATACTAGGATCTTCCCATATGCTATTGTTTAGAATACAACAATTCATAGTGAAGAGCTCCAATGCCGGTAAGTAGCATAATGAGTAAGAATATGGAGATTTACCTTTGTTTTAACCCAGATAAACACCATATTCAGAGTTTAAAGACTGTAATCTTTCAGACCTATACTTAATTATAATCTGCTATTAATTTCTTTGATCAGAAAAGGCTTTGAAAAGAACAGCAACCCATGCAGCAACTAACTTCAGTCAAATGTCATGTCTAATTAATTGTTTATAATAGGAGGTAATGAAAGTAAACACTTCTCCATTAAGAAGGCAAATATAAGAAAACTGTAATAACTCCAGAATTGGCAGAACAACTCAATTTTCTAAAGCCACTGTTTTTGGATGTCTAAAACCATCTTTTTAGTCAGAATATTGGTTCTTCATTTCTTATTTGTTTTGTTATGTCTTTCACCTCCTCAGAGGTACT